ACCATACATGCACGTCAACAGCTGTTGCATATTATATTGAGGCTGTTACCTTACTCCCAATGAATGAGCTGAGACAGATGTTGCATTACAAATAATGTTAGTGTTGATTTGCATGTTGCCTGAGCAATGTGCACACAGCGTTCGAGAGGTTCTCACTACTGTGCAGCTGTCACCGCTAAACAGCGCCTTGCATTTTAAACATCTCTGAGAGAGCAGCAACATGCACGTAATGTAGGACACGGCTCAGCAAGCAAATGTAAACTAAGTAGCAAGAGCTGACTCACCTTTAGTTTGACGGTGCCTTTGTCTAAAACAGAAACAATGAGATCATTTAAGGAAGGCTATTTTGTCATATGTATAAACACCTCTATCCTCCCAAATCAGTGTAATCACCAGTATGATGCTATTAATATTTGCCTGGAGGTTCTCATCCTGGGTGAGCATGACGTCCAGCTGCAGCCCATCTCCATGCCACTCTAAGGCAGAGCTAGCACCATGTATTAATGGTGCTGTCAAACAAATCACACTCTGTATACACTGAGCAGTTGGTGGGACGAGCTACAACTGATGCCTCCAATCATAGATAATGTGTATGAGAAGTCAGGCTGGTCAGGAGCACACAGCAGGGGAAGAAGTCAATCAGGACCACAATGTGTGTTCCTCATATGTTTGTGCCTGTGTACTTGCCTGTGTGATCTCAACATCCCTCTGAATAAATCACACAAAGCATGTATCTCACAGCTTGACCTGTTAGTGCAAGTTTTCTCTTTCAAAAGAATAATGCAGTGTAGCTTCAGAATTTGTTCTCACCGAGCACTGAGCCATGGCCGTGGGCCACCGTCTGCCCTTTCACCGACAGCTGCACCTGGACGCGGGTTTCTGCTTTTGCATTGAAGATGGTTACACTCACGCTCTCCTCCACACCTGCTCGAAACACAGAGGGCGCAGCAACCAAATAACCCCTGAAACAAGAAGGCAAGGTGGAGAGAGAAGGATGGAGAAAGCAAAAAAGAAGGAAGGAGAGAAGAGGATATGAGGGTGCACAGAGGAGGAGAAACAAAAGGAGAGGTCAGTGGTCAGAGACGGACATGTGACAGGAAGAGGGTAAACTTATGATGCATGTGGATATTATTCTTTTCTCAGATAGCATACAGATGTGGGCCACTTCAGGCTATGATGCAGCACAAAATGAAAAAATAGCAATTACTGTAAAATAGAAAACGTGGCCCAAATATCCCAAAACAAAGTGGGCTTTTTTGGAAACGTGGTTCTCCAGGTGAGGTGTAATCTGGATGTCAACCTAAATTGGCTCATGTGGTAAATGCTGAATATGGCCCAAATAGCACAAAACAAATTCGGGCCACCTTCAGGACTTTTGGTTGGTCAGTATTGCTCACTTGTGGCCAAGATCTGGCAAACAGGATGCGCGCGCACAACAAACAGCACATACCACATGGGACATACCACATGGATCTGTGTGGCGAGATCAGGTTTAATTGCAAGGGTTACCAGGGACACGGTACCTGTCGGCCAATGAGCTTTCTGCCCCAAGTGCTTTCTTTGGGTGGTCTGGCACCTCTGACAGAACCCTCGGTGTCTGTTTTTGAAAAGTAACGACTGAGATTCCACACAGTCACTCTGACATTTAATTGAGGGAAGGAGCCTGTCACTGAGGTCACGGAGCAAAGGTCATTCTTTGATGATTATAAAAAAAAGTCTGGGAAAAAAGGCCTGGTTTAAGTTTTATTTGGGGGAAAGAAGAATATGCCATCTGGCACGGAGCGGCATGGAGCTCAGGTAACAGAGGTAGAAAAATAAGAGCTCTTGTTAGGGATGGTGCTGCACAACCAGCTTGATGGAGTAAATGGTAAAAGTGATCATCATTCACTTACTTCTATTATTTGTGAGCATGTGTTGATTTGTTTTAAAACCAGATCTTTCATGCCACCCACATGTTGCTGGCGTACCTCAACCAATCTAAGTCTAAGTACCTTTGTGTTTGATCAAACCACTTCTGTCCCAGTCACACCGACTCCACTTCTTAAAGGCAAACAGGCCCGCTCACCCGCTGAAAAACTTAACCGAAGATCACACAAATTAGGAGTGAGCAAAAGCCTCGAGCACAAACCCAATTGCATGCCTGAAAGATCAGGTGGTTGGCATTACAGCACTGCTGCATTACAGCCAGAGGCAACTGCAGTTCCTGAGAGAGAGAGAAAAAGAGTGAGGAGAAAATCCCCCTGGAAAATAAGGCTTCGGGAAAAAAAAGGAAGATAATACGAGGAAATTGACTCTGTGCGTTTGATCTACAGTGAGTTTAACCAGCTCTCGGATGAGTCCGGATCAGGTGGTGGAGACCATGCTTACTCAGTCACATGGCCCTGATGTGCTCAACTTCTCATTGTTTTTGCCCAACTTTTGTCCTCAGCTGAGAGCCGCTGCTCACTGCCTGAGAAGGATTTATGTTCTCCTTTGTAGGTGAAGTCCTTAACAGTCAGCTCTATTCTTTTTTAGTTCGGTCACATGGATTTATGTTCTTAGCCCTTTTGCCCAAAATTCACCCTTAAGCTGAGAGTTGGTTAATACATGACAACAATGTGAGCTCTCTTTTGTAGATCAAGCATTTGTAAGCAAATGGGTATTTTTTTTTGGTTTATTTCCTACATTGAGCTGCATTCTTTACCTCCTTCACCCCCTTGGGCAACCTGGAAGAATTCTTTACAACACTTCACTATTAGCAACACAACTCTCAAGGTCAGAATTAAAACAACAGCCAGGAGAAACAAAACTAAATCTGTTTTAAATCTGGTTTATAGGAAGAATCCTAATATAATAGGCCACTGACACAACCCATTCATTTTGAGATAATATTTGTCTTTTTAAGTGCACATAATCAAGTTGGGGGTGCAATTATTATCAACAGTTATCATCATTTAGATATCAGTCAGTAATACTTACCGCACTGAAAGAAAATTTCTGTTGAAAATGGTTGCACAAAACAAATGTATCTAAATTAAGATATATATTAAGTTTAATGTACATATATTTGAAGTTGATTGGACTAATCATTTTTCATTTATTTAAAATTAATTAAAAAATGTATGTAGGGTTCAATAGCACATCTGTTAAATAAGCCAGATTGAAACATCTAACATCTACGAAGGGTCAGAATCCACTTGTTAACATGTTGAGTTATTGGAAGACTGAGCAGTCTTACATGTATGACAGATCACTAGTCTGCTCACTAGTCCAATAACATGTATGACTGCTCAGTTGTCCAATAACTGTGTGACTACTTCAATAACATGTATGACTGCTCACTAGTCTGCTCACCATTCCAATAATATGTATGACTGCTCACTAGTCTGCTCACCATTCCAATAATATGTATGACTGCTCACTAGTCTGCTCACTAGTCCAATAATATGTATGACTGTTCACTAGGCGGCTCACTAGTCCAATAACATGTATGACTGCTCAATAGTCCAATAACATGTATGACTGTTCACTAGTCTGCTCCTCGGTCCAATAACATGTATGAATGTTCACTAGTCCAATAAAATGTATGACTTATCACCAGTCCAATAACATGTTACTGGAATGAGAGGTGTGAAAAAGCATGCTTGACGATGTGTTGTGATAGCACAATGTCATTAAAGTCCTCACATGACAAAGTGACAGACGGGGACATGTGATTTTATGCAGTAAATATCACAAAGAAGCATCCTGCGCGTATCTTACTGAGACAATAAGGTTGCTATGGCTACAGGTGAGATAATGACAAATCGAACAGTATTTTCCTGCAGGTTTGGATGAGAACAGCTGAAGTGAACAGGAGAGGCTTGTAGTATTTACAGTATTGAAGCAAAGCAACTGCAGCACATGCAACACACTGGCTTACTTACTGTCTTTCTTGTGCACAACTGGTGCTCACGTTGCACAGGAACAATGTCCAGCAAAGACTCAAAGCTGTCAGAGACAAGCGCAACATGTCGTGGCCTCAGTGTGACCGAGATCCTGCGGGTATGAGGTCTGCCTGTCCTCTGCTCTCCTGGAGGAGGCTGGATCTGTGAGCTCGAGTGAGAAGTTAAATGAAAGTTTCAACGGCACCGTGTGTGTCCGCAGCTCTCTCACGTCTACGTATCCATTGAGGTTTTGGTTGTAGGTGTGCAGAGAGAGAGAGAGAGAGAGGGAGAGAGAGAGCGAAAGAGAGAGAGAGAGAGAGAGAGAGAGAGAGAGAGAGAGAGAGAGAGAGAGAGAGCGAGCTTCAGAGTCCCGGAACCAGAGATCAGCTTTTTGCAATCATCGCCAAAAAAACAAAATCCAACTTCCAAGTAAAAACCCCTGAGTGTGTGAGTGTTTTTTTCTTCTTCTTCTAGAACCCGGAGTACACAGACAGTCCTCTCCCATGTGCCTTCTTCACCCGCCCCGGTTCCGTTCTCTCATATTTCAGCATTACAAATAGAGTAAAAGCGTCCTCCCACTGCAGCGCGCCAAAGAAAAGACTGTATCACAGTAAAGAAAAGTTGGACATGTCCGATCCTTCCTGCTGATCTCTCTCGATCCTCTGCTTCCTGCAGCAGCGAGTCAGCAGACGATCAGCTGCAGGCTGCGATTCATTCTCTTCAATGCCTCCTCTCTCAGCACAGGGAGCATGACTAACCCCAGTGTAGGAGGCACAGGACCCTGCAGCTCCGCACAAGTTTACCTGCACATGTCACATACTCTCTGGTTTTCTGCTGCCATCTCTGAAACAATGAGCCACCAGCTGCAGCCGGTTCCTCCTGCACTGGAAAACAACCCTCGAGTCCGCAGCGATACGTGCAACACAACACACAACGCTGTTTTGGAGCAGGATTACGTCTGATTTAGCCTCTTATTCTTCTACTAGTTGCATTGCGCCCGTGACGCGCACAGACATCTGCTACCCTCAAGTGGTGAATAACATGTGTTGCAGGGAAACGAGTTCAAATTACAGAGGGGAAAAAGTGTTTTTTTTCTTTTTCATAGCAAAATTTATTGACATTCTGAGGTACAGCATTAAACCACCGCTAATGCACAGTAGAGTTTGCAGCAGGTTTTGTGAAATACTGAATAAACACAGTAACATCATAAAAACAATTCACATCTTTCAGGGCCCCAAGTACATGATGACATTAAAAAAACAAGATTTTGAACCAAGAGAGAACTTATTTTTCTGATTTAAGCCTCTCTCAGTTAGTATACAACAAACCCATCACTCGATAATAATCCTGTCCACATATAATCTGGAAGGAAGCACCAAGACAGAAATTCAACAAAAGGAAAAGGGTAAAATATGGAGCCTCCTAATTACCAAATTGTGATTTTTTTTATCTGTTGCATGCAATTGACTAAAATTTCAGTTTATGAGTTCACTCTGCAGATACTAACCTAACTTAAAGTCATCTTTTTCAAATAAATTTTTAGAAGATATTATCTTCTGTGCACACGATAAAAAATATCACCAATCAGGACTTTAGGGGATCCATAGTAAAGTGATGAAACCATTAAATTAAAAAAAGAGCTGCAAGGTGGTAGTGTCCTCCAATAAATTGGTAAATCCCCATCTCAAAAAACCATTGCTTGTATTACTAGCTCAGCAAACACATTTCCACGAAAGTTGGCGGTAGGATTGAACATGGGCTGATACAGAAGGTTTTAAAGTTTCTTTAGACTTGCGTTTTTTGATATTTTCACCAATTTCACTATAACACATGGATCTGGATGAAAATGTAATCTTTAAGTGTGTGATATTTGGTGCAGCTTGATTGAACTTGAGGGGACTGTTGTGCCTTTGCGGAGGTATGCGCTCTGATTGCCATTCTAGTTGACCTCCCTTTTGTCTCAAGAACAACCATCAATGATACTCCTGACAGTGAGGTCTCTCTGTTTCTCAGCCACTATGTTGTGATACAGTTTACAGTGCAGTTTCCCTTGTTCCGGCTCAGTGAAAGCAGTCTTGGAGAAAACCACTTGGTCATCCTGGGTAACCGCCACTCCGTAAGACATGCATAGTTGGACAGTGAGCGACTTGTCTAAGAACAAGAGCTGAGCTAGTCTGTCGAGAGGAAAGCGACAATTGCGGCTGCTGTATCCGTGGCTGAATATGTGCAGCAGATCTCTACGACTTGTCACCAGGTGCCGGTGGAGCGCACAGCTCTGCAGGAAGTTCAACCTCTGAGCAAATCGGAGTAGACGCACAGGGTTTCGCTCCAGAAAAGCCCGGTTGATAGACAGAGCAAGGCTGATTGAGGGAGTGCTGCGGAGCTGTTCAGGGAGCTCCATAATGTGACGCACGGCACGAGAGGAACCTGGCAGAGATGAGGAAAAGACAAAATTATCAGCAAATTTGGCAAACATGGTTTCTAAACACACCATTTAGGTAACATCCGAAAAGGAAAAATAATTAATGAATCTGCTGTGCACAAGAGGGGCAATTGATAATGAATTTGAACTTGCATTTTTGTACAATGCCTCAACAAACATTAACCAATATATACCCATATATACAAATGAAAAAAAACCCTGTTAAGCATTTAAGAATTTACCCAAGTTGTAAAGAAGTCCAAGAGCTTCAAACTCCTCCTGGTTGGGATGCTGTTCTGTTCCTGCTGTGTAGCAATCCAGCAGCCAGCTTAGATTCTCCTGTAGGTGTGTGTCGTTGATACGTGGGTCATAGAGACGCAGGGGCTCACCACAAAGACGATAAGAAGCATAGATGAGGAAACGCACTGTTCGCTCTAATATTAACACACAGTCCGAACCAGACACCCGCTGGATAATCATGTCCTGCCTCACACCACGCAGCCGATCAAAAACAAAGCCGTACACCTAAAAGATGAAAATTATTTAAAGATAAGAAGATATGCATTTAAGACTTTATTTTGTATGCATCTATGATTGTTATTCCAATATTGCAATAAAAATGAACAACAGTAAAATCAATTGTAAAATCAAATTTAGATCAGATTTTAAATTTCAGGACGTTTTATGGCAACAACACATTCAGAGTTTGAAAAGACTGCAAAATAGATGTGTAAATACTACTAGCCTCAGTCCATGGATGCAGATTGGTGGAAGCAGCAATGTCATCAATAAGGTAACAAACAGTTTTCAGCAACACAGCAGGTGGACGGAGGTCAGTGGGGTTTGTTGCGTCTTTCCCAGCTGCTGGTCTGGAATACTCCTTGACAGCGCGTAAGGAGTCTCCACTGGGCCGTCGATCTGTTTCTGTACCTGCTAACATCTCGAAACGGTGCAGGCAGTTCTGCGTCTCACGAACCCGCAGCTCATGAGCAGGGCACATGGTCTGGCAGGTCCCCCTGGGCACTGTCTCTTTCCCCTGTTGCTCATGTCTCTCACACACCACCTCCCGTCTCACCCAGGCTTTGTCCGTGCCTCGCCATTGCTCCTGGTTCCTCTGCCTCCACTCTCCCCCTGTTGGTGCATCCCTCCTCTGTGAGTGAGAGCTGTTTGAGGAGGTTCAGGTTTAGATGAACATGTGATTAAACGACACACAGGTCTATACTATGAAAGTCAAGACCACCAGCTTATTTTATGATGTTCCTCAACAAACCTTTGGTCTTTCCATGTCAAATCATCCCACTTTTGGGCTGCACCATCACAGAACAATGAAATTTGTCATGCTGATTCGGTCACAATCGATTTCATGTGCCTCTGATCATATTTAAGGGAGATGTGCTATCAAAGATTGCATTTTTGGAGGGGACTCTGTAACACAGAGAAATGGTTCTCATAGCATTTAAAGCTTTATTCGAGCTGCACATTTATCTTAATAGTATGTTATCCTGAATGAAAAAATAACAGCATTATGAGTGATTATAACAGAATGTTGAATTAGGTGCCAAATAATTGGTAAAATATCCAAAGTTAGCTTTTAGTGTCATCAAGATCTTTGGTTTTTGAGTTGCTCCTGAGATTTCCTTACTCATCACCAGTTCTGCTGAACAACAGATGGGGACCAGTGTACTATCTACACGTGAAAACAACCAATGCACTCCTTTGTTCCCAGGATAGTGTGACACTCAAACATTTTAAGCTCAACAGTGATGGGTCTGTTCAGCTTCTCCTATAATGTTAAATATACTCTTCGTCTTAGGGCACTTTATAACTCTCAAACATTTAAACTGCATTATTGAAATGTAAAAAAACAATAAACTTTCAAGATTAACATTCTTTTAATAGTCATTTTTTATTACTGTGAAAACCATGAGACACTAAGTTAACGAAATCGCTGTTGTCAACTGTGTCATGCTAAGCTATCATAAAAAAACAATTGCTTGGTTACCAGCTCCCTCATAAGCAGCAGTTAGCATTAAATGTATTGTACAGTAACGTTTGTGGAGGTGTATAGCATGTGGATGTTTTGGGTATAGCAATGCTAGCTAGCGTTCATGTCTAGCCACTAGCTAGAGCCGACAGTTAGCTAGTTAGCTAACAAAGACAGAGAGCTCGTGAATGCCGCTTCCTCCAAATCGCACTCAGACAGCTCATTACACAAACTGCCAACATACGACACAACTACTGACACGGTAAAGTGTTTCTACGAAAAGTCCAGTTAACGCGAAGTAAAACTCCTGTTTCTACTCACATGCGACGAGGAGCCCTCCTGCGACTCATTGGACCTTCAGGCAGTGCGTCACTTTCCAGCGTCGTCCAATAAGAGCGAGTCTGTGTTGTTTTGATGTGACGTCATATCCGGAACTGTGGGCTAGCTGTTTGTCCCTCTCATGAGCTGGCTGCAAATCAGAGCACTTCATGAGGAACACCTAACTAATGCTGGGCTGTTCTTCTCTCTGCTCTCAGAAGATGGTGAAGATATTCTTCTTTCATTCTGCTCCATGTCTGCATCACATGCACATATTCATGATGCTGATCTCCTGTTCCACCAGATCCCATGTGCCTTCAGGTGGATTCACATTGACGTTCACTGGGCCTACTGGCGCCTTTGTGAAACCAGTTTGAGACATCTTTTTATTGTGATGGAAGATGGTCAACTGTGGCCACAAAGGGACGTACATGATCAGCAACATGTTAGGAGAGGCAGTGGCATTTAAACCATGATTGATTAGTTTTAAGGGGCCAACATTGCTAGGAAATCATTTCTCAGTCACACCCTTATGGAATGAGTTAACATGGCCTTTCCCTGAACTCAAACCAATCCTCTGACTTATCTTGTCAACAGTTTCTGTCTGCAGCTCATTAGATGTTTTTCCATAGCTAAACTATTGAGTGCTGTGCATGAAAGTCCAGCTCTCCAAAACCAGGCTCTCTGGTGCCATCAATAATATCAAAGTCACAGTGATCACATTTTCCCCAATTATGATTTTTGATGTGAACATCAACTGTAGCTGCATTATTTTGTTGTGTTGCACTTTTTCCACATGATTGAATAATCGGGTGTACTGGATGGTTCCTAGTAAAAGGTGAGTGATTAATATTAATACACAAGGAAAAAACTGGGGCAGCAAAGGAATACATAAAATTGGATTTAAAGGAATAAAAAAATTCACTCATTGTCTACAGTCTAAATCCACAGATGAACAGATAACCAAGATGCTGAAACAATGTACCCATCCACCCAACAAGTACCTTGAAAAAAACACTTGAAATGAAAACACTTGGTTTTTCTATTCAAAAAACATAAAACATTAAGCCTAGAACCCCAAACAACAACTCTGCTCATGTGTTGACTCCCAGCAGTAAGACCATTTTTTGACCATGTTGACTGTTTAATTCATTATTTATATTGCTTTCTATTTACTAACAATGTTTTTATCTATACACACCATCAGTCATTGTTTTTGCACATCATATTTACATTTACAAATTCGAGCACACAAAAACATTTGACAGTACACAATATGTCAGAAATGGCACAAAGGTAATTGGGGTTATCAAAGTGCATGTACTATGTTTCCAATGTTGTGTGGCATCTTTTCACTGTTTGGGAAAGTAGAGCTCGTGGGTTCTTGCAGTACCGAGCTGCTCCTCCTCCACGGCCTGCTGAACGAGGATTTTATGTCGACAGGCTGATGAAGACAGCTCCAGCAGCTCTGAAAAAGCACTGGACAAAAATGGATGCAACATTAATGTGCGAGTACAAGTGTTATCTGAATAATATACTGAATAATTGGCTGTGTTCAATTCCTTACGAATTAATGTACTTTTTTTTGCAGCCACAGAAATACAGTATTAAGCTATTTAATGAAGATTTTTTTAATGGATGGTCAAAACAAAGCACTTCTAGCATAAAAGTATGTAACACAGTGTTTGTATTGTAATACCCATATATCTGTGTGTATTATTGGCTCGAGGGCGCCCTCCCTTAGAGGAAGTGGGTAAATGCCACTGCCAGTTTATGAGACTGAGGTTAGTTGCACAGTGCAGCACTGTGTACAGATTGTATGTATTAATGTGTGAGTGTCCACTTTATGAACATATGTGCACTATAAGTCATAGAGATGTTGACCACATAATATAAGAGGTGTTATGAGTGGGTTGCTTTATCTTTTTAGAGCTGAGATATTCAAATAAAGTCATGCTACACTTTCTTAGTTAGCGTCTGTGCCCGATTCATCTTATGATCTGTATGACTGACCAGTACATATTCTGTCACATACATACGTTCATATTCTTGTATTTATTATACTTGGTTGTATTGGGATGCTGTCAGTTTATGTGACACGGGTGAGGAGGTCCTGCGTGCCAGTTGCTTATAATGAGCTAACTTTTTGAATAATCAGCACATTTTCTGTTCCTGTTCAGATAATAAGTGGAGGCATTAGAGACAAAAAGCCACCTGTTCTTCATCATCAACCCAACGCAGTTAGATTTTTAGAAACAACCAATTACAGCAAAGTGTAACTGAGCACAGTTACACAAACATTGAAATCCTCTGGGAAATAACAAAAGAGCAATGAATCAGAGCAATGACATGGAAGACCGTGTGTATACAGCTTCCTCTACATATGAGCCTACCCTGACAGCTGCTGGCTGATGTCTTTTGATGTCAATTTGATGTTCCTGAGGCACTCAAGAGAGGTGCTGTTGTCCTTGTGATCTCCCTCTGTACAGCCCAGCAACAACTGCTCACTCTCCTTCAGGCAAACCACAGCTTTATCTTTAAAGGGTAGATACAGGAAAAAAATGATGTATCATTGTTTACAAGAGCTCACACTGGTTAGGTCACATGAAATAATTCAAATAAATAAGATACATTTCAATCAGCCCATGGAACGAATTATCAGAATCCAGAAGCGCATTGTTTAAAAGTGACATATCTTTCGTGACGACCCTAAAAAACAATATCTAAATATTAGAGTGGACACAAGAATCCGCATAACTCTATTTCACATTAGATTTTTGTATTTGTGTGATTTATGCTCTAGTCAGCTGTTAGAAGATAACATGAATGTTGGAAAAATTAGATAGACATTAACATACATAAAATAATAACAAAAATAATCTGCCTCAAATTAGTTTTTTTTTTTGCTATTAATAATGTTATTTTTTGTAACTACAGCTTTTAACTTTTTCATCTTTTAAACAATGTAACAACAACCTAAAAATTCCCTTCTGTCTCCATCAATGTAGAAGTTCTTGACAGGCAGCTCATGTCGGGTGATGTCAACAGCCGTTGCAAAAGACTTGTAGTGCTCTGTGAACTGCTGGGCAGCTTCTGCCACAGGAGTCAGTGCAGCAATCTGTGGTGGAAAATGATAAGATTAGAAGGATGAGAATCCTACATTACACTATACAACCACCAATCAGCAAGTACCAAGAAGCCTCAATATGAGTATGAGAATAAAAATGTAGCAAAGTCCAGCAATAAATATCAGTTAAAGTAATAAACCACTCTGCCGTAGAGATGGACCTTTGAATTTTATATTACAAGCACAAAAGTTATGATTTCTGAAGTTGGTTCCAAATTCAGCTATGGTGACCTTCTCATTATGTCTTTCATTACAATCACTAACATTATAGTTTATTGTAACACAATGAAAAAGTCAGTGCAGTACAAAGGAGAAGGTTTTTTGACCTGCAAATCCAGCAACTCATTCATCAGCCTGTTCTTCTCTGCGAGCAGGTACTGGCGCTTCTTCTCATGGACGTCCTTATGCAGCGCCTGTTCTTCCTCCATTATCTGCAGGATCTGTGCCTCTGCCTCCGCCTTGAGTTTTGCAGTATTGCTCTCCATCTTCAGTCAACATTAGAAAGACAGAAGCAGATCAGTCACAGCATGGGCCTCATGGCAAAATCTGTATTCCCTATGCAACAGTGGTCTTCCTTATAATTTCACTTTACACTGACTTAACAAAGCAGATAAGTTGCAAACAGTTTACACATGACTGATTCACCTTAGCTGTGAGGTATGCCAGTCGTAATGTTTGCATCTCAATGTCCCTCTTCTCCTCTTCAGGGTTTCTCTCGGGTTCTGCTGCATTTTCCATCACTGTTTTCTCTTTAAAAAGAAAGACATTGGAAAGAAAACTTATTGGCTTGTCCCATTTGTAATTGACATTTAAGGGGTTTAAATCTGCTTACCTTTAATGACTGAAATATCAAACTCTGGTCGAAAGCAGGGCCCAGCTGAGAAAGTAGACTGCAGAATACTTTCCCCGAGCAGGGACGGTTCTGTTTCACGCGACATGATCGCTATGACAGATGAATATGTAGATGTTAGTTATATCATAGAGATAATATAACCATCCCAATTAAAACTAAGAGGAAACCGGTTGTTAGAAACATATAATACACCTTGATATACCTTTACACATACAAAAAAGACATCCTTTAAAGCAGTTAATGTGCTGTAAAATTAACAAACACCAGATCAAAATGATAGGAAATGAAATTATTCATTTGTTATAAAATGTGTGAATACACATTCATAATTATTACCACTTACATGTTGCAAGAGCCTGTGGTGCCATTGAGCGCCTTGGTGATATGCCCACCTTTGGTCTGACACCACTGGGTTTAGGTGAGGAAGGCCTCGGTGGAACAGCAATAGACTCATTGGTCAGCGAGTTACTCTGTCAATAGTTAGGGGATGTTAATTTAACAAAGCACGGATGTGTATCATAGAGGGGACGACAGCGACAAACTGGAAGATATTGCATCACTTGAACTGTGTTTAAACAGGGCATACAGACGGAGAAATAACCAAACACGAAAACTGTAAAAATTAAATAGATAAATAAATAAAAAGAAGCAATACCTTAGAAAGGGATGACTTCTCAGCAGACTGCATATATCGAGACTTGACTATGGTTCCACTTGCTAAAGTTTTATGGAGAAAATTTGAAAATAATAGACAAAAACAAACAGTATCAAAAGCACTGTTATCATTCATCAAGTAAATATGTCATGTCTCATATGAGCAACAAACGTTTCATCTTTAATGGAAATAAAAACACATTTTAAGAATAGCAACATTGTCTTAAAAGGTCATTCAACATGTGTACATTTTTGGGGTGAATGGATCCTCCAAATCCACTGTTGTTTTTAAAGCTGGGTCAGAGGGAGTAACCAAAATGTTCCCAGTCATTCACTGCCAGCGGTCCAATATCTCAGGATTCCTATACATCGTCAACAAATTAAACTAGCCTAAGTTTTACAGCCGGCCTGATCAGTCCATCATGAATGGACCAAAATAGTAAAGTGACACACCCACACACAGTGAAGAAACAACAGGAGTAAAGGATAATGATTAGAAAATAAATAGCTTGTCTCTAGTCTAAAGCAACTAATTTTGTGATTTCAGATTAACACCGTTCTGTTATCCTATATCACAATACCAGAAGCAGACATTTGCATTGTGGTTTTGAGCACAGTTCATTTGCATCCCAAGTACATTAAAACAACTCTGATAATCTTACAACGTAGAGTAAATGAGACATCATGATAAACACAATTCAAGCAGACTCTAGGTCGGAGTGTCAATATAAAGTCGTTTTTAAGAGGCATCGTGGAGAGATTTAAGAAACTGAGGGCTGTACGAACCTGAGAGGCGGCAGCATTATCAAAACTAATTCAACTCTTCTGCAAACTCAGAAAACCAATTATCTTAACACAGACACTTACACTTCACAGTTTTCCTCCCAGTCCCGCTGTTGCTGGTTTTATTAGAACTGTTCCCACTTTTCGAGCTGGAACAGAAACAAAACAATCGCACTGAAAACGACCCGACCCAACGCTAAGCTAACATGTTAGCATCGCTGCCTTTCAGTTACACTTCATAAAAAGACGTGTTGCTTTGACAGGCTACATGTTTACCATTTATAAACGGGGCGTTTACTGCTAAATAAAAACTATACAACCTATTGTTGTAACTAAAATGGCTGACGTTTGAATATATGAACTTCTCCTAAAGTGAAACTGACCGCACATCTACAAGCCATTCCCTTAAATGATGGAGAAATCAAAGAACTACCTTAAAGCGTCGCTGCCCTTTAAAGCACTTGGTGCTATTGTTGTTCTTCTCGACGCCATATTGTGTCGAAGCTGGGTGGTGGATAGAAAGAAACTCCTGAAGCTACATCTTCATGAGAAGCGCTTCTTTCTGCTGCTGAGATACAAACACAGGACGGAGTGGTTTGAGAAAGACCCGCCTGTACGCCAGCTTAGTCAGCCGCCAGAAACAAACAGTGATACATTGGTTCCGCCCTTCTTCTTCCTCTTCGCTGCAGTTTGGTGGCGGGCTGCAAATGTTGAAAGTGAATGCTGACATCTAGTGGACTGGAGGGGGGGTTAGGGTTAAACCGTGCTGCAGTCACACTCTGAAATTAAAGGTCCAGTGTGTTAGATTTAGGGGAAAGGGAACTATTGGCAGAAATTGAATGTAAAATAATTCTCATGATGTTTTCACTGGTTCATTTCATCTAAATTGTATGAATTGTAGTTTTCTTTACCCCAGAAAAGGTCCTTTATATTTAAATACTTTATATTTACATCGAGGGGAGCCTCTCTGCGGAGGCCGCCATGTTTTTTAGATTAGTCCAGACTGGACAAACTAAACACCTTTTGAGTTTTTATGACTATTAAAGGTTACCACAGGTTCTTTTTCATGTTTGGAAGGAGAAGGTGAGGTGAGGGGTGTTCAGCTGCAACATGTGATTTCAACACTAGATATCACAAAATTCTACACACTGTACCTTTAAGTTATAAACAAACAAATGAATGAATGACTAGTATTATTTTCAATATAACTTTAAATCAAGTTCCAGTCTGTTGAACTGATTATTCATTAATAAAAAAAAAGCAGCAGTTTAAATTCATCCCGTACTTTATTATCTGATCAGTCTAAGTAAGGATAGATAGATGGATGGACAGACAGACAATTGGTTGATAGACAGACAGACAGATAGATAGATAGATAGATAGATAGATAGATAGATAATTCGATTTTAGCTTCACATGTCATCTCTTCTTCTGCAATAATGTCATTCTAATCATCTAAGTTGTGAACAAAATACACAAATGCATGTGGGAGTTATATGATGTATGCACAGCTGTTGGATTCTGTTGTACAGTTCATATAATATTTTGTGTTGACTTCAGGTGACGTGGAAACCCACAGTTGTTCTAGTAACCACTAGATGGGTGTAAGAGTCTGCAGGATCAGACCGGTCCTCACCAGTGAGTCGTTGGAAAGCTGTGTAAACACTGATCAGGTAACTAGACCACCACAGGAATAACAGTGATGACTGACTGATATGTAGTACATGCAGGCAATACTGTGCCCTGTCCATCTAACATACATGTGTGTAACTGGGGCACCCTGAGGTTACGCACACTGACGCAGAGGAGAACTGCTGGCTTTGATTACTGTCAGCCAGTGGAGATGATAACCCCTCATATGCATGTACCTGCATGTGTGCATCTTCATCCCGTTTGTGTGCACATCAGCTCAGCAAATTCTCTTACCTGAAGTTTACTGGATGACTGTGTGTACAAGTCTTAAAGGACATAATGGGGGCTGATCCCACCTGTCTGAGCCGGTCTTGGACAACAGGGAGGACAATAGGCAGAGAGTGGGTGTGGGACTGGGTGGTAAACACTGGTCTGCCACTTCTGTCCCAAGTCACTTCCACAGACATGGATGGTTTAATAGAGATTGAAATCACTGGTTGCTGAATATGTAAAGTAATAATTTAACAGGAATTTTACTCTGCATCCTTTACTATCTCATCATTTTTATTAAATATAATATATTTTGATCAGATTTTCTATACTCTGAATAACAGGACCTTTCAGCTTTAATTAATTTTGATGATAAAGGTTGAACATTTAGGTTTGGCAGAACAATTGTAATTTTGTGTGTGTGTGTGTCTGTCCCACTTTATCAGCCTGTGTAAAGGCCGGGTGTTATCGTCGCTCTACTGTCTCTCAGTGTAATAAAGCCTTGAGGCAGGCTGCTGTGTGTCTGCATGCTGGCTGTCCATCTCTCACCACCATGCAATGCCACGACCAGTAGCTGCTCTGAGGTGAACAACTGGTGCTGTTGATGACCCTGATACGAGCTGCGTTCACTCCTTTATTTTGATCTGGATGTTCTTTTGATTTTATATTATAAACTTTTTTATTGGCATTGTGGTTTCCCTTTACCTCTCTGGAGTAAAATGATGAGATTGAGTCCATGGCTGAGGAGCTGAAATGAAAGAGTGAGAAGTGCACGCTGAAAGACAGAAGTATAGAGACATGGAGTCGCTGAATGAGGGTCCTTGTCTCCTCTCTGAACCCACCTCTCGTGCCTTTCTCTCTGCTCCGAAACTCTGACGTCCGATGAATGATCTGTCTATGTCACTGTGACCTCACTGATACTCAATTTTGCCACATTTCAGGGCGATAAAAATGTGAGATGAAACAGCTTAACTCGTGTTCTGAGTGAAGTGAAAGAAAATTTGTGTCCAGCTCTCCTAACACATGTATGAACACATGAATGCACACACATGCACATTCACACAAACCAGCCGTGCAGCCCACACACCAGCCCCTCTTCCCTTTGCGGTAAGCTGTTACTCATCACTACCCAGTCGGCCAGTCTGGTCCACATAGGCTACCAGGAATGCCTCGGATACACAGCGCCTTATACAGTAAAACCAACAAACAGTATTTGCAGCATTTAGTTGGATATCTGAACAAAATCCCATCATTCTAAATCCTGTTATCATGCTTTTGCTTGTGGGTATATGTAATAAATAGTTGTTATCTTATTTAGTCCTCTGACCATTTACTGGACCAATTAGTTCAACCTTTTAATTTCAAAGTTCAAACAATTTTTTTAAAGCCCCTATTCACAATTTGCCTCAACAATCTGTAGTAAGATGACAATGAGGAAAAACTTTCAACAAGGAAAAGTGCAGAAACCCCGGGGAGAGTCACAAGTGAATGATTCCTCTCCCAAGAGTGAAATAGATGTCACATGTACAAAATACAATATTTACAACATTCATGAGTTGTAGCTAAATCCAATAGAAAATACAAAAAACTGGGCGACCACTTCAAGCAACAGAAAAAAAACAAGGCATGCCTCCATACTGCTTGTGTGGTGTCAGCCAAGTGTCTGTGAGCCCTGACATTCGCACACACTGCAAACCAGCTCTTGCCCAAGGCTCAATTATCACCACAGTGGTATCAGTATTTGTTAGCAGTTATTTGTGGTTCTGTGTAACGGTCTCTTAAGATATTTGTCATGCTAATTGCAAGCAAATCTGTACTGGCTGTACAATTCAATCATTTATTATTTGACAAATGATTTAAGTATTTTGGATTCAGTGTACTAGTTGACATCTTGTATTCATTTCCTGTCTCTGTAGAAACCATATATAACTACCACTTATAATGGAAAGAGAAGAGGACCGTCAACTTGCCTTATGAAACCTCTCTAGTTGTGGACACTGTCTCATCGTGTTCTTACCGGACATGCCGGAGTGGTTGCCAGTCAGCATCTGGGCAATTTAATCTTTAGAAGTCATACTTCAAAACAGCTGTACAACTGCTCCAAAGCAGACCTGAGCCAGCTCTATATAAACTTTATCAAATGGGATCATTTTTTATCAAGATCCTAAAATACAAGGTCTGTTACTTCTTACTTTGCAGCAAAAACAGTTCTGTCCTATCATAGTGTAGAAGTGCCCTTTTATTTTGGGCCACCTCAGCTCTAAAGAGCAGACAGGCATATGATTTCATGTGTTTGCTCTTTATTGAACCAGTGGTCCTCATTACAGAAAGCAACTGAGAAGAAATCCAAGCACCCAGCCTGAAGCTTCCAGTGTTAAGTCATTAAGCTTCTCTCTGTTAGCTCACTGTGGTGAGCAGGGGAGTATTAGGAACGTGTTTACTTCTTACCTTCGGAAAATCTTTGCGGTTCTACTGATCATTGAATTTAACAAACATTTCCAGATCTGAGCACTTTGGTTGTCTTACTTTGAAGGTGACATACAACAGAAGCTTTATAAGAATGGACAAACGACAATTCCCAATTTCACTCTGAAAATAACTGATGTAAGAGTACATGTGTAAAGAAGAGATGGAAGATTCTCTTTATTTCTTAGAACATGAGAAATGTGTGCATATCAGTTGAAACTCTCAAAAACTTTTTTAATTTTCTTCCAGTAACTCACAGGATGTTTCCAGCACAGGCTCTTCTTCAGATATAACATATAACACCATACATATTTAGAATAATGTATAATATTATAATTGTATCATTATAATTAGTATGTAATTGGTACAGTTATAAAATGATACCTTTGTAAAATGTTTTAATTGTTAACATTATATCTTTGTTCTCATGTTGGTAGTCATTTGGATGACTGTGCCCCAAACATTACCACCTGGGGGGTAATATAACACATTTCCACTTGTGGGTGAACTCTTCCCGTCTTCTGGTTTTCATCCCCTCGGTCCAGCACCTTGTGTATATCACGTTTGGATGTGCGTGCTGTTGTATCCTCTGAACTTAATTTCTTTCTTACACCTCATGTCCTCATAGAGAGCTGAAACACCACAGCCATCAGATCACCTGAAGGCTTGTTTTCCACCTCATCTGTGTGTCGCTAACTTCCTAATTGCTTAAAGACAGTGCTTATCTTCTCAGGATGTGACCTCAGCTTGGTGTTCACTATCGAGGATGAACCCTGCAGCATGCCTGCTTCAGGTGCTGGATGCTGGGGGATTTCCTTACATCAGTGCAGGTCAAAGGTTCATGATCTTCAGCGAATAAAGAATTGAAAAACTGCAGCAGTTTTTGTACTAAGTAGAAGTTTCTCAATTACTAATCTTAAATGGGGCATGTATCCTTATACCAAGGCAGAATATGACTGATTAAATGATATATGAGTCTGTGTCTCTTGTACTCGTATCTCTACGTCAAGCACCCATGTGAATTTTTGCGAATGAAGGATGAGCACCCTATAAGCAAGCATGACTGGTTGTGTGTGTGTGTGTGTGTGTGTGTGTGTGTGTGTGTGTGTGTGTGTGTGTGTGTGTGTGTGTGTGTGTGAGAACCATGTGCGGTGCTTTAGCAGGGCAGTGTAGCGTGCAGTGCAGGAGTGAGCAGAGGCGGCCCAGGCCAGCACAGCCACAGTACCCTGGTAATCCCTGCGTTTTCAGGAGCCCTGGCCCGTACTTGATGAGCTTGAGCAAGAAAAAGGTTGCACTCTCTGGTGTGTTTCTCTCTCTCTCTCTTTTTTCCTTTCTGTCTCTCACTCTTTTATTCCCCCTGTTTTTCTCATGCCCCCCCCCAACCGTCCCCTGGAGCCACTTTGCGAATGAATGGAGCCCAAGTGTTTGCTCAGCAACTCCGTCTATCGCTCTGTCCCTCTATATTTCTCAGTATTTCAAGGGGAAGAGAGGCTGCAGACCAACTACCACAAGAGAAAACCATACAGAAAAATGAAGAATATGTTGGGGCACGCACTGCACATCCCTGCAAGCATGACTTCAAATGCCTGACCTAGACTGCACTGTGCAATTTTGAAAGAAGACTCAAGATTTAGGGACACAGATGAAAGAGTTGATTGCAATGTTTAAGGGAAGCACAAACATCCAACTGCTATTGCAAAAATTTCTTTCTGGGTTTTTGTCTGTCATAGAAACTGCAAGCAAGATATTGTGAATACAACGATTTTTAGTTTTGCACTTTTAGTTTACTGTATAACAGCAAACAAATATATAAAGACTTTAATCCAAATAGAAACTCTCTCTCTTTTTGGAGAGAAGTCATATATCAAATTTATCCTCATGGTGTCCTTGGCTGAGAAAATGAGGACTTAGGAAGACTGAATGTCATTTGTTTTATCAACAAAATTCATCAGAACATGAACAGGATTTTTAATATTCATATGTAGTTCTATGCATCATAATTTTTATCTTATTTTCTCTATTATTGGATCAGGTTTATATAGTAAAATAGGGTTAAAGCAACAGTTAGAAACGCTTAATACACCAGTTTAAACAATAATGTGTATTTTTGTGCAATAAAGGAATATTGCAAAATTACAGCGATATTAAAATACAGCAAAACCAAACTCGATTGTGACTATTTACTAAGAATGACTTTTTCTTATATTCGAGGATAATTAAAGGAGTTGTCATTCCATCCTTGTAATTGGCTCTTGGCTCTAACAGGATACTAACAGGCCCATGTAAGCAACAGCATCTATTGCATGGGGTCGGGGGTGGGGCAATGTCAGTCATATTGTAATAACACTTGGTGAAACTGGGGACAATCATTCACTAACATACGCATGTGCATGTAGGGCTCATGGTTGTGCAGAATACTGAGGGTAAAATGGTAAACACATACACTGACCACAGGACAAGGGTACAGGGAGCGTTGAGGTGTATAGGGGGTGGTGGGGCGGCTCGGAGGGGAGGGGATTAACAAGAGGCCGCAGGCCCCGAGGCAGAGGGCCTGTTTCCTGGCCTGAGCCCCTGTTTGTCCTGCCTGACCTGACAGCTCTGGGGGCAGATCCTGCTTGGATACAGTCCCGCTCCCACGCCTGTCTGAAGCTGTTAGCCATGAGTAGCTAGCCGGGCTTAGTGTCGTCTGAGCTGCGGCTGGGTCGGGGAGGGGTCCAGTCATCTGTGAGTGTGGAGGTGGGGGGGGGGTACCAACCACTTTGTGTTGGTGGAGCTAGGGTGACGGGGAAACAGTGAGCAGTTATGACTAATGACTTTGGTTGGATCATTTTTGCATCAGCCCTGCCAGAGGGAAGAATAACAATAGTGTCTCAAATATCAATCATGAATCATCATGAACCTGTATGAATGCATATGGTCAAATTGGTGATAAATTAAAGGAAACATAAGCATAAACTTAAATCAGATTCAATATAAGTATGCTATACTGTCAAGAAATAAGGGACTTTGACAGATTCTATATTATTCTTCCTCAGGATATTCACCTTTTTGGTGTTATTAATCTAATATCTTGGTCGAAACTCTCTTAAAAGTAATGAAGTAGATCGATAGTGACTTAAAAGGCCATAGTATATGATGCACATAATTTTGAGACCCATTAAACAACAATCTCCCTTGCATCTTTGTGCATGGAAACTACCTCATTCATTGTTTTTCAGGTTATCCTAATTTGTCACCTGGACCTTATACTTCATCAGGTTGATAAGTGTCTATGCAACTTGAGGCTGCCCTGCTGCCTGCTGGACTCTGCCCAGACATCGTGGTATCACTCACGACAATCCTCAACACCTCTCCCTGTGTTGTGTTGTTGAAAGTGATGGCAGCAGGTCCCCTCTGTGTGTATCTTACCCTTTGTAATTAACTTCAACCCTCCATTTGCCTAAATAATCAATTAGAAGCACCATCCTCATGCTTGTGTTTGGAGGCTGTTGTCTGCATACCAATTGTGCACGGAGCTATGTTTTCACTTCGAAAATCCATAAGATAACACCTCTCCTCTCTGGGCCAGGGCGCTGTTTGATTATCACTCTCCAAAAATGAAAATGAAATGAAGGGATATTTACTTTTCTTCCCCAAAAGCTTTGATAGCTCAATTGCTTGTTTTCAGTGGCTTGTTATTATTTTTCAATTGGTGGATTGGCAGTTGGGTTTGGAGAAGCACAGAGCAGCTCTGCGGCTGTTGTTTCTGCCCTGGATAGACACAGAGCTGCCGCTGAATGCCCGGAGAGAACAGCAGCGTGGCAGAGTCGGAGATAGAAGAGGTCGTCGATGGATCTGTGTTAAACATGAAAGGCTCAAAATAGCAGCCACTGTGGTTTTCCACATCACTAAGGCAGGTAATATCATGAAGCATAGAGGCCAGTGGTTCTCATATCTTTGTCTCAGTTTCCAGATTCATCCATTAAAATGATCGGGATATTTCGACATTCAATTGTTGCTTTTATAATGCACACATGTGTAATATCTTTCTAAAATATTGTTCTTAGAAGTGTAAAAAATAGGCTGTCTTTTTTTTTTATTATTCCGAGGGACATACATTGGGGGGGGGGGGGTCCCTTGCATATAAAACATTCATCTACGTGCACATGTTGCAATGTTTTTCTGTGACGCTGTCAAATTAACCAACTGCAGTTGATGCTGTCGTCGACCTGTTGTAATCACCTCAGGTGCCACGTGGAAAAACTAAAGAGGGTTAGTGATTATTTGTATTGTTTTATTTTTTATTATCAGGAAATCATCAGATCACCCTCCTGCATCTCGTAATCCCCAAGGGGGTCACGACCCCTAGTTTGGGAGCCACTGAAAAAAACCCCTGTGATATAAAGCACTCTCTGGACTGTATGTTACTTGAGCTGATAAAAGGCCTTTTTATAAAATAAAGTATTTTTATTAACGATATCCTAAAATCCCATTATCTTCAAGACACCATAGGACAGAGAACTAATAACACAACAATGAAGAATACAGCAAATACTTTACTCCATAACTGCAAAATCCTGTACTTTAGTGTTTAACATGATATCAAAGTACAACTTCTAGGTTCTTTTGGGTCAGAGGATATTAAACTTTTCTTCTGGGCTTCATCCTCCTGCCTCCATCGTCACCAGAGAGCCAGTGGCGTCATTCCTGCCCTGCCTTATAAAACTGTCAACGCCTTTCTCTCACCTGGACTGACACACACAAACACCAGGGCAGGACAGTCTGGGCTATTATTGGACAGAAGAAGACCAGTCAGTGCCTGACTTTTCATTTTATTCGGGTATTTACCCCCCTCAGCTGAAGATTTGGAGCCTTTACATTATTTCTTTTATGAATCTGGCAAATTACTCTTACTTCTCTGGCATGTGCAACATGACCGCAGAGACGCAGCACTCGCCCGCCGAGGCCAGTCCTGTCGTCCTGTCTCCAAACGTCAGCCTGGACTCGCCGCTGCCTCCTGCGCCGCCCCTGATGCTGCAGGCCCGGACAAGCAAGGACAACGTTTTGATCAAGTCCGAGCCCAGAGGGAGCAGCCCCGGCGCGGAGGACGGAGCCGCCCTGGGCCAGACCGAGGAGCACCTGCCCACCGGGAGCCGCCGGAGGAAGAGGCCCGTCCAGAGGGGGAAACCTCCCTACAGCTACATCGCCCTCATCGCCATGGCCATCGCCAACTCCCCGGAGAGGAAACTCACCCTGGGGGGCATCTACAAGTTCATCATGGAGCGGTTCCCCTTCTACAGGGAGAACTCCAAGAAGTGGCAGAACTCAATCCGCCACAACCTCACCCTCAACGACTGCTTCGTGAAGATCCCCCGGGAGCCCGGCAGACCAGGTAAAGGCAACTACTGGACCTTAGACCCCGCAGCCGAGGACATGTTTGACAACGGGAGCTTCCTGAGGAGGAGGAAGAGGTTCAAGCGCACAGATGTGAGCACTTACCCCGGGTACATGCAGAGCTCCAGCGCCTTTACCCCAACCCCAATGGGTAGACCCTCGTACCCCAACACCCTGTACGCCGGGATAGGGTCTGGTTACGGCTCCCAGCTCACGGCCACATCCCCGCATCATCCCGCCATGCTGCATCACTACCAGACCTCCGCAGGGGTCGGCCAGGGACAGCCGCGCATGTTCAGCATCGACAACATCATCAGCCAGCAGACGGTGGTGCAGAGCGGCCCGGGGGGAGAGCTCAGCTCCCAGGCGCTGGGGCTTGGTGGCGGTGACCTGGGCACCATGACCTCCAGCTGCTCGGTCACCGGCCCCGACCCGTCTGCGTGCTTCCAGACCCAGACGGTCAACCCCTCGGCGAACATGCTGGGCAGGAACAGCGGGAACATCGCCTCCAATCTGGTCGCCGGGTACCCCTACTCGTCCTCGGCCTCTCCTCCAAACCTGCCCGCCATGACCCAGTCCGGGTTCTCACCGGGGAGCTCCCAGGTTTACTGCTCCGGCAACAGGCTCTCCCTGCCGACCCTGCGCCCGGGCTCCTGCGCCGAGCACACGGAGCAGCTGCTGGGCCTCTCCAGCCCCATGAACTCCTACAACAACACCTACATGAGACAAGCCAACTTTGCGTCAGGGTTAGACCGGTACATGTGAGACTTTATCTGCGATAAAAGGTCCAAACTATTCACACACAGGTTAAGTAGTCCCATATTGAAAAATATGCCCAGTGAGTCCATGCGTAATGAACACAATTAGGCCTGAATCCAAACATAAGTGGCCCCTATCAGAATATTATTGGGATATGATATCTATTCCAAAATGCCTTAAATTGCTGAATATTGCTTCAATATATCAATTTCTGAAAGAATCAATTTTACCTTTTCTAAAGTTAGAAACGAAATGACTCACAATGACCGAGCCTCATGCAAAAACATTCCTATTTAAAAGGTGTAAAGCCATTTAAACCCGTTTGACACATTCCATGACTGTATGTCGACTTTCATGTATTTTATTGTGACACATTTCGTTCATATTTCCAATGGTTTTTGTTCAAGTTCGTTATATTGTCGTCAGTGGTTCTTTTTCATGTAAATAGTTTGTATAAAAACTTGAGTTAAAGACAAGTGTTTTTATTGGTGAAGACAGGTGTTCTGAAAATAAATGCATTTTTTAAATAATTGTGTCTTTATTTATTTACTATTTAAATGTTTTTTTTAAATGATTCCGATCCAGAGGATTTATTCAATTAGTTTTTCTTATTATTGCTCCACTGATCAGTAACAACCATCTTTTGTATAAAGCCTATTCAAATTTCAGCTCCATGACAAAATATCTGAACTGAATATTTGAAAAAGAAAATATTAAACTAAAAGGTCTTCAGATATTGTAAATCTTGAAATTATGGTAAAACAAATTAGTTTTAGTTAGTTTGATGTTTAATATTATCCTTCCTTCACTAACACAAGGCAAAAATATGGCATTTGGGGCACATATTTAGATGGTATTAAAAAACATATTAAACCTCTATAGCATATGAGAAGAATAGATCTAAATGTTCGAGTCACTAAAAAACTAATCCCAGGACCAGAGTGGTTGTTGAGTTCTAATCTCTCAAACAGTAAAACACAAAAACTAACATGTTCACATCTATCCAGCTTTAACTTGGTTCAAAACCTGAAATAAAGGCTCACAGTCAAAACTGGGAGAAATTGTCTGACCAATACAAACAACACATGTAAAAGAATTACAAGTAGCCTGTAAATTCTCTGTTACACTTTTAATATCACGTCAGAGATAATAATAATAATAATCTTCATCACATTTTGACTTGCAGGTTGAAGGGTAAGAGCAAATCGTTTTGCATTATAATTATTTTCTGATTTCCACCATAAAAAGTTCTTGATAAAAATATCTTATTTATTTTCAAATTGTCTTTGTCTCACTTCAGCCATAAACTATTTATTAGAAATTCTCATTTCTAAGCGTTGTTTTCTTTCTTTCATATTCCTTAACTTATACGACAAATGGTCATCTGATACAGTATTTTTTTTTACAAATTTGTATGACACACTTATGTAATGTACCAGCACGTCCATGGACAGGACAAGATGGATCACCTGAAGTGCTGGCCACAACCAAAATATGTTTTATATAACTAATTAATTCGTATCTTTAAATTTGACACTCATCACAATATCTTTATTTCTGGTGGTTGTGGAAACAAGTAGCTGAGGAGCCACAATAAGAAATGAAAACAATGACAAATCACTGGTTTTTAATCTATTTATCCACAAATACTCATGTTTGAATTTTTGTATTAGTTTTCTGTTGAAAATGAAAAATATCAACAGGAACATTCATCATAATTGTTGAAGCCTGGATGATGTGCAACATGAAGTCATCAACTGGTGTACTCAAAAATTTAAAGCAAAACTGAAAACAACCACAATTTATAAAAACAAATCAAGAAAGTAAATATGAAATTTTACTTTGATCAATCGTTAGCAAGAAATAATGACCTCTGATGTATTTTTCACATGCAGGTGATCAGCATTTCTATCAATCAATAATTCGACTTTTTATTTCTATGTGCAAGTTACAACACGTTTATAGATCAGATGAAAGTTACTTGTTGCTTGAAAGTTGCTCGCCTGAGGGCTGTTGTCAATCATTGAGGCTACATCACAAAAAATCTATGGGTTACATGCTGCACAGTGAACCTGGAGGAAACAGCTGCTCCAGGTGAGAACTTTCCACCACTAGATGGAAGCAAAAGCCAAAAAAAATTCAATATTGGCTTCTTTTGCAGTTTGTACATTTGTTGCAAATAAGTTATTCAACCAGTTACGCAGATATGAACGTTCCAAATGTTTATTTTGTAACAAGAATCTGGTTGGTTGTCTGTGTCGACAATCCTAACACAGTCTTAACCTGAAATGATATTGCTGTAAAATATTTTACTTTAATTTTATTGTTTGCTTTAGCACTGTCTTCATCTGCTTCATATTCATCATGATTTCCTCTTTCTCACATTGGTGTTCTCTTAATTTTAGACCTGGTGTGAGTTCAATAAACTTTTGTTCCCTATAAGAAGAGTAAAAGCTAATAGACACAGGTCAAGAGAGAGAAAACTTCTGTCTCAGGGTAAAAACGTTTTGAGAACTGGTGCAGTTTATGAAAAGTTTTGAATGGAATTAGGAAGCTGGTTAAAAATTTAGTGTGTAAGGTTTAGGTGAAAGGGATCTATTGGCAGAAATTGAATATAAAATAATCCTAGTGATGTTTTCAGTAGTTTGTTTAATCTAAATTGTACAAATTGTTGTTTTCTTTACCCTAGAATAGCATATTTAAATACTTTATATTTACATCAGGGTCCTCTCCCTGGAGGCCGCCATGTTTTTTACAGGAGCCCAGACTGGACAAACTAAAAACCTCTTGAGTTTTTATGACACCGGAAGGCTGCCACAGGTTCTCTGTCATGTTTGGAAGTGGAGGGTGAGGTGAGGGCTGTTCAGCTGCAACATGCAACTTCACCACTCGCTTCTACAAACTGAATCTTTGAAGGTTTGATGTTGTGTCGCTGTTAATTTGATCACTTTGATTGTAAATCACTTTGTAACCAGTGTCTGTGAATGGTGCTCTATATTTAGCTTACTTTGTGCATTCAGTTAAGAATGGCTATACTTTATATTTGACCTTGATAGACAATATCATATCAAATATAAAGACAATATTTCTTTCTGGATCACATTAATATGGATCTACCTCATAACTGCCACTGACTTGACTTTAATTTGTCCTTTTCTTATCATCTTAGAATATAGTTATTTCAGTTCATTCAAAAGATCCTTACTATTTTCTCTATTTTACATACAACTTGACTCTTGCATCACCTGTCATTCAATTTAATTTTGTTCACTTTACGAACACCAGGGGGCGCGTCAACACCACAAACAACAGTGACAGTAGACGCTACTCAAAGGCAGATGACGGCTCATGAAGTCTCAGCCTTTGTAAACTTGCAGAACCTGAAGTACAATATATTTAGCTGCTTAAATATTGAGAACATGTTGATTGATTGATATTAGTAACAATATAATTTATTATAAAATTAAATTTGAGCAACTAAACAGTTTTCCTGATTAAATGTAAACGAAAAGACATTCATAATATATAATTTTATAATCTAGTTATAAGACTGCATGAAAAATAGGCCTATGTATTTTTGAATGGGTGACGTAGCCCATGTTTTGCTGGCAGATACAATATTGGCTTCCAAAACAGCAAAAACCTCAACAAGTCTAGACATAAATAATTACAGCTTGGATATCCAAGAAAGACATGCAGCTTATTGTGTGATCCATATTACAAAGTGGCATTGTGGGAGGCAAAGTAAACAAATAAATACACGAACAAACAAACAAATAAAATACAGACCCTCTGCCACAAAGGCTTTACAATAAAATATGCAATTATATGAGCCTGTAGTGAGATGTGGAGAGAGTGTAGTCGCTGTGGGGCCGGTGACAGAAAAGTGTCAGGATCTATTTCAGATTTTAAAAGGCTTGTGACAGGCAGGTCAGAGAGGAGGACACACGGCTCAGTCAGAGCTTGCTGGGTATTAAAGGTGCTGCATGCTTCACTTCGATCCCTCAGTGCAACAGACGTCTCCTTCAATAAATAAATAAAATACAATTGTAGGGTTGTTGTATAAAAACCTATTTTAATGACATGCAGCTATGAATGGGGTGCCGATGTAAAGCCAGTACAATAACTCTGCGGCGTAATGAACTGGAATGCCCCCCCTGCTCCAAATGAGCCCGCACACATTACGCACACATTACACATTGTCATCTGCTGGCCTTTCTCTCCTGACGAAGACGAATTGGAGCAGGTTGCAGCTGACTGTGCCCCCGTGCACCCTGCAGAACAATGCAGAAAATGCACATGGATAATGTTGTGATATTCCGACAAGGAAAATACAAAACCCGTGAGAAATGATCAGGGAACAGACGACTGGCCAGAATCTTTTATACGGAGGAAATTAATACGAGCTAATCAACCATTTTGTTAGGGACCAGAGGAGACGCAGAAAGGACCCGTTTGTAGAACCTGTGTTTTTACCACTACAATGGTTAGAGTAAAAAAAGATTTTAAAGTTCTACACTGTAAAAACATATGAATTAAACTTCAAACGAAAATAGTGATAGTAAACTTTAATTAGCAAATTTGGCAATATCTTTCTATGCATACATTCAATTTGAGCAAATATCCATTTTTGAATTTAACAAATAAATACTGTTTAAAAGGAAATAATAATAATAATAATAATAATAATAATGATAAAAATAAATAATAATAATAATAATATTGGGATTTGTAATTTTATTATCTTGTATCATAATATATCCGTAAACAAATCAAAAGTATAACCGATATTTGAATACTTGAGTATTGTGTTTTTTGCTGGCTAAAAATCTCAGTAATCATCATCGGTGGATGTGCACCTTATTCTCCCACACTGCAAAAAAAAACTTTAATGAGTGTCAAAATTTGCTCAGTGAGACATAATTTGTTTTAAATGTATTTTTATGCATATTCCTATTTTTGAACACTCTAGATCGAATATATATTAATCAAGTACAGAATAAACCTGATTTCCACAATACGAAATAAATGAAAACTCGAAATTCTTATATAAATCCTAACAACTGACGTGATCCACAGAGCGTTTTTCTTTGTTGTTGTTATTTTAAAATTCATTGATTAAAACAAATATGATTTCCAGATTCATGGTCTGATATTACTTGTTGCAAGGTAATCTCGTCCAGTTCCTGGTAGCAGTGACTCAAAGACCACGTGACCAGCGTGGCCCTATAAATACCTTTTGAGAGCTAAGGAGGATAGTGTGACAAGTCTGGCTGGATACCTACCCAATCCCGTGCGTAAAAGATATTTTGGAAAGATACTTGGATTTCCAGAAGTAGCTTTATAAATTGACCTGCAGCACAAACCGATCGCGGACGGAATCAAATGCAGACTGAAGACAACTGAAGTGTGAAAGATCGATGATCTCTGATTGTCTTTTTACGCGTGAAAACCAAGAAGTTGTTCGCTGGATGAGAACTTCGCACAGCCCCGCTTGACCTGCCACGGACGACCAGGAATCGCCAAAGCCACAGGTCAAAGAGTTATTTCTATGTTTGAATAGATTCTAGCCATGTGTGCATTCAATAGTTGGAGATAAAGCTGCAGCACAAGTCTGGTGTGGTTGTACGGGGGAGTGTGTGTGTGTGCGCGCTCTCGCTCTGAAGCCTCACCGGACCACAGGAGGAGGAAATCTGGGAGAGCAGGGGAAGAGAAGCGGCGTCTCCAAGGATGACTTTAGGGACGGATATGTCCGATAGCTCAGCACTGTCCGAAGATGTGGACATCGACGTGGTCGGGGGTGACATATCCGTCGGAAAAGACGGAAAGTACATTCACCACGAGTTCAACTTGGACAATGACTCCGACGATAATTACTCCCAGAACGCGGCCGAGAGGGTCTCCTCTCCCGGGCTCAGCAGCTCCGACTGTCCGTCAGAGCAGATGGGGTCCAGCGCAGAGACTGGCACCGTAATCGGGGACAAAGCCAGGAAAAGTGCACTTGTGAAACCACCCTACTCTTACATCGCCCTCATCACCATGGCCATCCTGCAGAGCCCCAAGAAACGCCTCACTCTCAGCGAGATCTGCGAGTTCATCAGTAACAGATTCCCCTACTACCGGGAGAAGTTCCCTGCGTGGCAAAACTCTATCCGCCACAACCTTTCCTTAAACGACTGCTTCGTGAAGATCCCGCGGGAGCCTGGCAATCCCGGGAAGGGCAACTACTGGACCCTCGACCCGGATTCCGCAGACATGTTCGACAACGGGAGCTTCTTGCGCAGGAGGAAGCGCTTCAAGAGGCACCAAACCAACGAAATCCTCAGGGACTCCGGTGGTTTCCTACCCGGGTTTGGATACGGCCCGTATGGATACAACTATGGACTTCAGCTGCAGAGCTTCCACGCAGCTCACAACCCGTATCACCCGCACCACACAGGTGGCTCTTTCCCGTTCCCCAACGCGCCCTGCACCTTGCCCTCGTCAGCCGCACTGTTCCCTCCGCCGCATCCCCTGCCCTCGCTTTTGGGCGCTGATTTAAGAAAACCCTTTTACCCCCAACTAAGCCCTTCTCTGGCGCCTCTCAAGACGGACTCCAGTACCCCGAGTCGGCCTTCGTTCTCCATTGACAATATCATTGGTGCAGCAAACTCCTCCGCTTCTTCCTACAGCGCACAGCCGGGCAGCCAGGCTCAGATCCTGGCCATGTTGACCCCAGCTCTGGCCTCTGCTTCCAGTCACTTGACCCTATCACAGGACAGCATATTACAGCCTGGGCCACAGAGTGAGACTTTTCCCAGCAAAACCCCCAACATGAACACTTGTCCTTTCTAAAAGGAAAAAAAAACAGACACAAAAACAACAAAATGACCGTTGAAAACATTTTATTAGAAAGCCACTTGTGGCGCAGTCCCTTGTTAAGGTAGGCTGAACATTCCTACTGAATCAAGAGTGTTTTTTCCAAATTTGCAAAAAATGTTAAGAGAGGAGAGAAAGTTTTATTTATGTCTTGTAAATATATGTATTATATGGAGAGACAAAGGGAAGAGAAGGAGGGGGATCTTTTTTCAAACAATGCTGGGCCTGCAATCTGCCATGTGGCCTTCATTTGTCAGTGGGAGGAGAATAAAAAAGCGATCCTGTTATTTTATAAGTTAAAGGTCTCCCCCGTGGTTATATGGGGATGATTCAAGATTTAAAAAAAATTATAATTGAGAATTCTATCATGATTTATGTTATTTTCTTTTTGTGCGTCGTGAGAAAAATGGCACTGTTGTTGTTGACATATTTAGGCTGACAAGAGACGGCAAACTCAGGTTTTCTTAGAAAGCACATGAAGATAAAAGAGGGGAGGGAGGGTTTCTGACACAATAACCATTTCCCACCCACCCCTCTGAATTTATCTTCTACATGGTGAATTTGTGACAATATCATTTCATGTTGTTGGACACTTAGGCTGTGTGGTTTTTTTGGTATAAAAAGGGCGCATTACCTCTCTCAAACCTTTTAATTGTTGTTCGTTCTTATCTATTTCACGATTCAATCTGTGAAACATACAGTATGTCATGTGTTGCCAATAGAGAGAGAGAGAGAGAGACACCTAAATGTTCATAGGTCATTTTTGTTGTAATGACAAGAATAATAAATGTTGGTGAATTTGAAAAAAGAGAGAAAATCGTTATTTTTTTATTTCATGGAAAGTTGGCGCTTAAGAAATGCAGTTCCTAACAGGGTCAATATATAATGGAGTAAACAGAAGAGTATCAGTTGAATTCACTTAAATCATATTATTGGTTGTTTTTTTATGTTTTAACCTTCAAAATGAATTGTTTAAAATGTATTGTAGTGTTGCAGGATTTCATTTGAGCACATTTTCATTTGGATGAATAAGCACGAAGAGGAAGGCTACTTTTATTGGACTTAAGAACAGATCAAATTAATGCTTGCTCCAATCAGCTCCCAGTTTTAATTAATTCAGACGTGACCACTTGCAACAAAAGCATCAGACAAACTTGATTAAACTTGCAGTAAGTTAAGCATCAAACTTCAAGATGTGAGAAACGCACAAAATTCACTTTGAATATATTAAACACGACTTGATGTAAATAATAGTCATGAATATCACGCAACAGTGCGCAAGTATCCCTCTTGTCCTGCTCGCTTTGTAAAGCACCGTTTTCTTGCACCTTCACAAAACCCCCCTAAATGAATGGGGCATGTTAGCGGGCCTCGGCGGTGCGTAATTGAAAGTGAACAAGGATATACCCACGGTCCTTTTGGGACTTTCGTTGCTAATTTGTAGCAGCATTTTTCACCGGTCTCCCTAATCCACCATAATGCGGCTTTTTGGGCCGTTTGTTGATGTTGTCAGCGCGGACCCCTGGCCCAGGGGAGAGAATGTGCGCGCAGCGAGCGGTCCCCCTGTGAGCCCAGCCACACACACACATTTTCAGACCCCTGAAAAGCAATCTTCTCAAAAGGCCCTCGGTTTTTGCTTCGCTTTCATGTCATCGTGTGTTGTCTCGGGACACGTATAAAAGAAGCAGTGGGACTCGTCCGGCCACAGAAAACAGGCCCATTGGTCTTTTTTCCAGAGTTGTTGGAGCACATGTTTCCAGACAGAAGGAGGGTGTAAAGCCTCTTTTATTCACCAGACCTGTGCGTAAATGGTTAAATTAGTTTGTGGGTGTTTTGACAGATGATTATTACGGATGAAGGGTGGGAGGGCTGACTCCTCTGTTTTCCCTCAGCACAGCTCACTGAAAGTCTTTGAAACGAAAACCAACACATGACTACTTTCTTTATGCGCAACCGGCCTTTCTTTCTTTCTTTCCCTCCTGTCTCTCTCCTTGTTAGCGCAAATTGGGCCAATTGATAAATTTGAGAAACAATTTTGATCAAAGACAGTCCCCCGTCTGTTATATCCGCCATGTTAATTGATATCCTGCATATATAATTTGCAAAGTAAATGAGGTAGAAAAAAACATTAGCAGACTTTTGAAGTTTTCTCAGCGCAGCCGCCCGGACAGGGAGTCATTACGCACCGCATCAGTCCATTAAAATCCACATGGAGCGTTTGCAGAGGTGGTTAAAGAAGCATTTAAGTAACGACAGGAACGAGAAGCAAGCCAATAAAAATCACTAGACACAAAGCATAACGCACGCACACACACACACACACACACACACACACACACACACACACACACACACACACACACACTGGATTTGCCATGGAGGAGAGGTCCAGCCCAAGATACACACTTTGAAAATGGACGATTTGAGACACATTTGTATAGGTCTTCAGTAGTGTCTCCTGTCTGCAGTGAGATTACAGACCTGTGACCAGAATAGACGTGGTACTTGCTCTTCCTCAAACCACCACAAAGACATGTGCTCACATTAGATATCCGGAGGCGCATCTTCCCAAAACGCCCTATAATTTTTCACGTTCAGGTCCTAATTGGACATCATCACCGCACATGTATTGACACGTTAATACACTTCAGAGACCCTGCTCCCCGTGGTGGGCTGTCACTCTGAGACCACACACAGTTTGCAACAAAGTGCGTCTTTATATATAGGAGACACAGACATTTGTCATTATTCGAAACGAAATCAGAACTGAGCGATATGTGGAGTGACAGCCAAATGACGCGAGAGTCACCAAAAACACATTTATAAATTCACCACTTCTAAAAGCTTCCATATGCTGTGTTTGGGCGTAAACACAGTTAGCATCCTTAATGTCGTATTTGGGGTCTATAATTTATTTAAAGACTTAGATGTCAACATAAATGTCTGTCTTCTTTGCACAGTAAATGTTTTCTCCTGTAGGATTCCCTAAGAAATGACAGAAAGTGATTACAGATATTATTACCATCCTTATTATCATTATTATTCTTTCATCTCTCTCATTTAAGGGGATTTAAACTAAATGTAATCGCTTCGATCTTTCACTGCCAATAAGGTTAGATTGTTGATCGATACACTGCTGCGTCTTGAAGGACACGGAGACAGAAGGTGTGCTGACACCACGAGCCAAGATTGTTTGTACATGCGTATATGTGTGTGTGCGTGTGTGCGCACGATGTCAGGGTGGTCTTCAAGGTCGCTCGAAAAATTAAACAATAACTAACTGTATACAGAACTATATATTATATTATATTATAATATATTATGAACATAGACACTGTGGGACATATATTATTATTATCATAATTTTTTCTAGGATTTGATTCCACTTGAAGTTTACCGTGGCCCTTTCAAACTATTTTATTTTAAAGCAACGAGTGGACAATACATAGACAAAGGAAGTGGCAGGTGCTAAACCAAGTTGCCCAATTTGACATCAGGCCCAATAACACAGTATTTTTATTGTAGATTTAAGTTTTACTTGAAGAGACACGTTTTTGGATTTGGTTTTGCCACTACCACTCAGAACCTTGTTTGCTTGGTCAATCACACCCTCTCTGTGTCTCTCTCACACACATACACACATCCTTGGGAGCCACACTGATCATTTTTCCTCATAAACCTGCAACTTGTTGAGCTTGTAAAACTGTTGCAACGCTTGCGCACTTCTTTACCTTTATGGCCCAGGGAAAACATCTTAACATTTTCTCTCTGTGTGTTTCTCTCTGTGTCTGTGCACACGGCAGACGAGCCTCCGCGCCCCCGCAGAGGAATGTTGGCCCGTTCCGCGGCTCCCCGGCCTGGAGGAGAGGAGAGGCGAGCCGCGGCCCTGGCTGCACCGCCGCTATAAATCACAGCCTCCCCTCGCCGCTCGCTGTCTCCCTGCAGCCTCCGTGTTTTTGCAACAGACAGAGGAATCCTTCGCTTAATTAATTTAGAATGTGTAAATAAACCGCGGACAGTGAACTCCCCATCATCTCTGGAAACACAATATTAACTTTGGAAGATCTTCGCCTCGCCGACTCTGACGCACTAAACGAACACCTGCTGCAGAGAGGGAGAGAAAAACGACAAGAGCGCGCGCGTACACGTACACGTACACGTACACACACACACACACACACACACACACTGTATCACTGCAGGGGTATTAATGACTGCTGGTGTTATATCCTGCAAAGTTCACTAGAACATGATAGCAGGTGATGCTACACCCGTCAGTTCGAGGTGTGTATATGTGTTTACCGTAAAGTCTGGATCGTGTAGGCCTTAAGACAAAAAACTGTACTCACCATAATTCACTAGTTATAACATCTGTCTCATGCAGGTGCGTGATTTGTGCGCAACTTTGGAACAACCTACCCCTTTGACAATAATTAGTTTTTCCATCAGACAGACAGCAGCAGTGCATGTGCAGGAGTATCTGCGTGTGCTTAATGTGTGGATGAAAACATGCTCACGATCTTACTCTGAATTTCCACGTTCCAGTTGCACGGGAATGATTACGCATGAGTCAGATCAGCCACCTGATCCAAATTACGCACAGGGTTTAACAGAAGACATATCAGACTACACAAGAATAATAACAGATACAGGCTATAGAACACATACGTCTTGATCCATTAAACGAGATGATTTGTATAAGTGTCAGGAGGTCACACACAGAGCTGCAGCGCACGCATCCAGATTTGAAAACCATAATAGCTTCTCAATATGAGTGGTGACAAACTTAAAGCGCACAGAAACACTTACTGAGAAAATAGTGGACACAATCTCAGATGTTTTCCATACGGCTGCGAGAGGTAAACATGGGAATGATAGTGGTTGATAATTAGTTGTGTGACCCCTAACCCTTGAACTATATTACACAGATGGAAGCTCAGGTGGTTTTATTTAGGGAATTTGAGACGCCCTCTGGCTCACATTATAACAGGGGTGTGAGTGAAAATCAACGTATTGTGTCTGACTACTGAACATATAATCCGACTCACTACTCGCTACTATCTAATGTAATTAAATCAAATGTTAGGAATCCACAGAATACTTTTCAGCGTCCCCTTGTGGTCCTTGGACCTCAGATTGGGCACCATGCCTCTTGCTTATCAACCAGTGACGTCGGTTTGGTTTTACGCATGAAGGAAGATCTGCAGCTTCAGTCTGATGGCTCTGATCGAGAGGCGCAGCTGCTGCTGGTTCCTCTGTTGTGCCATGCGGGCACTTTCACTGCAGGCTTCTTCCATTTGACCTTTTGTTGCCAGCGCATTAAACTCACAGCCAGGATCCACTGCGATCACTGGCAGCTTCCATAACCCACTTAGTATACTCCATAATTATTGATAATTATGGATTATATTTAAATAATTAACCCCATGTCAATTCCTTTTTCATTGTGCAAAGAAATTATTTAAATTTCTTCCCATATAGGCAAAATAAAATGATCATGCTTTTATAAAAGACATTAATCCCTGAGCCTCAGAGGTGAAAGAAGGAGACGTTGAAGTTGTTTGAATTGAATGTCCACAATAAACCTTTGAGCTTGTGCTCTCACTGGATCATTGACACAAATTGCTTTTCGTTTTGTGTGCAA